GGAGACCCTATGAATGAGATATCTCCAAGACCCCCTGTTCTCTACTGCTCTAGTTAATTCCTGCAAGCTCATAACCGTTTCCTCTTTAATATAGTCCATCCATCTAATATGTGGCCTTCCTCTCTTTCTACCTCCCTCTACCTTTCCTAGCATTATTGTTTTTTTCCAGTGAGTTCTCCCTTCCCATGATGTGTCCGAAGTATGATAGCCTCAAGGCCTTTATAGACTGCCAGAAATAATGCAGCTTGAGGCCACTTTAACTGTCCTGGCTCACTTGAGGCCACTTTAACTGTCTTGGGAATTGTATTTTTTTTTTCTGGGACATTGAGCCTTCTCTGTCAGAGAGCTCTGGTGCCACAATAAACAGTTCCCATGATTTCTTAGAACTGAGTCAGGACAGTTAAAGTGGCCTCAAGCTGCATTATTTCTGACAGTCTGTAAAGGCCCTCAGTTTTGTCATCTTCCAGGGAGATTTCCAGCTTGATCTCCTCTAGGACCCATCTCTTTGTCCTTTTTGCTGTCCACGGGATTCTCAACACTCTTCTCCAGTAACACATCTCAATTTTTCTTCCTATCTTGTTTACTAACAAGCTCTCACATTCATACATGGTAATAGAGAATACGATGCTTGAATGATTCTAACTTTTGTACTCAGTTGTATATCTTTGCATTTTAGAATCTTTTCTAGTTCTTTCATACCTGCGCTCCACATTCTTAATAACCTTCTGATTTCCTGGCTGCAGTCCCTGATCCTATCAATGTTGGATACATTACTCTACATTGGAAAAAAAAAAGATTCCCTAGCAGTGTACAATGAAAATATTAAAATATTATGAAAAAATAAGGAAATGTGTAGGAAATCTCCAATTTTTCCCTGAATGGTTTATAACATCTTGCCTGATGAAGAAGCCAGTGGAGCTTCAAAAGCTTGCAACAAGTATACTGTGCATTTTGGTTGCAATAAAGGTATCACTGTTTGGTGGATTTTTGTTTGAATTTATGAAAAAATAAAATATGGAAAATATGCAATGAATTACATCAGTAATTTCAAGAGATATCCAAACAGATTTCAGAACCATCCAAAAGCAGCACTTACAAGGACCTCAGAAGGGAAAACGACACTCTCAAATATCCTGGTCCCAAGATGTTAATGCCATTATACACTACCTTAAACCTGGATCATTATACACTACCTTAAACCTGCCTTGCAAATAGACAAACAGCACTGCCATAAGTTGGAAATGACTTGCAGGCACACAACAACCACAACAACCCCATTAGGAAAGGAGTTACATGTTGATAAAAGAGCCAGCTCCCAACTATAGAGAAACTATCAAGCTCTGCATTAGCTGTAGGTTCCAGGTCAAACTGAGTGAAGCCACAATGAAAGCACACTGCAATAACCCAGTCTTAAAACTACCAGTTCCTAATGTATTGGTAGAACTTGAGAACCTAAGAGATAAGATTTCAAGCATATTGCATTTGCCTAATATGTGAATACACTAACAAAGTTTTAATTCTCAAAAAAAAACAACAAAAAAAACAAAACCCACCAGTTCCTACCACACTGTAGCAAACTCACTTCTATCCATGGTAGCTAACATATCACCCACACCAGCCTGATGAATGGCCCACCAGACCTCTGCCACTAGGGCCTCCACTGCCACAAATGGATTTCAGAGTACTAAAAATCACAAACGTATTCCATTATAGGCTCGCAGAGAGAACCTGTACAAGGCATACATTTAAAATATTTTTAAAATTTAATGATAATTTTTCCTCTATTTGATTTTTTTTAGCTTCTTAAGAAATATATAAAGATAGTATAAGAAGACATTGCTTTTACTTTAGCTTTTAGGAAGTATTTTCGCAACATGGGGAACGCATCTCACTTTATTGTATAAATCTATGGATCCTTCATCCCAGAATATTTGACTTAACTGAACAGTGATATTTATATACTAGTGACAACTCTAACTCTTATGTGGCCTTGAGACTGCTTAAATATGCAGTTACTCCATTCAAAAATAATAATGTAAAAACACCAGTCACTAATGTAGGGGCTTGTTACAGAATACATGCTGTATGCATAAAACAGAACAAAAAGCCACCAAAGAGAAAGCAATTTCTATACCTCCTCCTATCCTACTTTATATCACTGAGTACTTGAGCACATGGCAACACTTTCAAAAAACATTTCACTATTCTTGCCAACAGATCTTAGCTGCTCCTTGCGGACAAATAAGCCAAGTAGCGCTTCAAAGAATAAGCCAAGTAGCGCTTCATAGAAACAAAAAACTGAAATTCACTAGGAAATTAAGTTGCATTCTCAAGAAGTACAGCTGCCCCTCCCTCATTCTGGATTCCCCCCCCCCCCCGCAAAAATGTCAGCTTGCAAATAATCGAGCCCCATTTAAACTAATAGGCACACATGCGTCCATGGTGCACATGGTGATTTAAAATATAGCCCTTGTCCCTCCCCACAAAGAGCAAGACTCGAAGTCCACAAACAGAGAGGGACAACTGTAAAAAGAACCATGGACAGCACTTGTCTTACATGATAGCAGACACCATAGCCTAAGATTTGCTTAATGGTCTCAAACTGAATTGGTTATCTTGACAGTCATGTGTTTCTATTGGGGTAACAATGTCAAATCAATTAGAAGAATTAAAAACATTTTGATCAACTAAACTTTTGGCCCTATTTGATCAGGCTTTATTTAAAAAAGTTAACTGAGGGGAGAAACAGGCCGGCATAAAAAGCCGTGCGCAACACATGCCCCCAAGATGCCTGGAAGCTGGCTTCACGCCACCCGGCTGCCCATGCGTGGGCCAGTTTCTGGTCGCTCCGGCATTTACATGCTGCAAGAGTGCCATAACTGCGTAAAGTTTCTTTTTGCCAGCACAAACAGGAATGGCAATTTGCCACTTCTTTCTGGGCCAGCAAAAAGGCAGATTGGGGGCGCAGTGTGTGGTTGCCACGGTCCCAATCCGGCATCAGGGGAGGTAGGTTGACACTGCCCTTTTGGGGTGGTCTGTTTTGCCCCGGAAAGTATTGATAAATGTTTTAGGTACCATATTGATACCATCTTAGAACAGATACCCTTCCTATTTTCTCAACCAACAGAGCCTCTTCCAAAGTGGTACCTGCTGCATTACATTATCAAATCTTTACAAAATCTAAGTATCTATTTCAAATTCCAGGTTGAGTGTCCCTTATCCAAAGTCTTTGGGACCAGAAATATTTTGGGGGGTTTTGGATTTCGGAATACCTGTATCTGCATATATGTACATAATGAAATATCTTCGAGATGGGACCTAAATCTAGACTCAAAATTCATTTATGATTCATATACAGCTTATACACATAGCCTAAGGGTAATTTTATACAGTATTTTTAATAATTTTGTGCATGAAGCGAAGTTTGTGTACACTGAACCATCAGAAAACAAAGTGGCTGTCACTATCTCAGGCACCCATGAAAAAAGTTTTGGGTTTTGGAGTATTTCAGATTTTGGAATTCCAGGTAAGGGAGATTCAATCTGTATCATTCTATCTTTATTAAAGCCAAATATTTAATTATCTTATTTAAACACAACAAATATTAGACATTTTCTTTAATAAGATTTCAGCCTTTGCTATAATACAACTGCATGGTTTCTCTACAATGATCACCTATTTAATTCTCAGAGTGATATGAAAACTTCACATACTGCTCTCTTTTTTCCTACTACAGGCAGCAAACACAAGAATACGTACATATATCTTTTACACTGAAGGATTGTTTGCAAAGGATGCCCTTATTCATACATAACAGCAATTTCCTCAAATGTTCATTACAACTATTACTTTATTCTTTACTGACATAAAGGGACTAAGATCTTAGGTCTCACTATTTTCAGGCATACATTCCTGGGAGAATCTCTAGCTAAATAAACAGATACTGTTTTGGCATTCACTGTAATACTAAACAGAGTTTTTGACCTAACATAAATTTAATTTAACTTTCCTAAATCCTGTGGGAAATAGATTATGATTGGCCAAGGGTCACATGGGGTCACTGGACTGAACTCATGATCTGCTTTCTGAGGAAAGAAGAGCTCCACTCACTGAAAGTGGCTCTGTCCAAATCTGTGGGACCCACCTTCCCCACAATTCATCCAATTCAACTGGTGTTCTTGTCAGATAGCAATCTAACTAGCATTTACCAATATTTACATTACTGGGAAGAACACAACTCCATCCACTGAGAAGACTTGTATGAAAAAATTCCAGAGCTTGACTGTAACTTTTCACTAAGTGTGGGGGCAAACGATTTACATGATCTGAAGAGAAAAAAGGGTATGAAGGTTTTACATAAAGTTCTATTGGATTAAAAAAAATCCACATAGAAGTAATAGTAAGAACCTTGACTATTCATGCTATTTACTAAAACAAAAAGGAAAGGCTGGAATAAATGCTACCAGAAAGAGAGAGAAACAGAGGAAGCACACCTCTTAAGGATTTGGTATTATTTAAAAAACAAACTAGCCACAGCCCAACCTCACAACTGCAGGTGAAGGAGGCAGGTGACATCATAATTACCTCTTGGAAAATCTGGTTACTAAGTAACTGAAGAATTTCTAGAGTGACATATTTCTTTCTTCCAGAAGAATTACATTCCTAACACTTTACCTAATAGGTAATCCTTCCTGTGGGTGGAGAAGAAGAGAACACATGTAGTGCAATCTAATACAAATCTCACCAAATTCAAAAAGAATCTCCGTGCAGACAATTGCAGCCAGACTCTCCTCAACTACTATTCTTTGCACAGGTGCACTTCATTCTAAAGTCTGAAGTACTGCATGCTTTCTAATAACCACGGAAGTCTGGACTTGCTTTACAGCTGATTATGTGTTGTTGTTGTGAGCCTTCAAGTCAGTTCTGACTTATGGCAACCCTGTCACAGAGTTTTCTGGGCTGAGTGTGTGTAACTTGCCCAAGATCACAATGGCTTTCCATGGCTGAGCAGGGAGTCAAACCCTGATCTCCAGAGTTGTAGTCCAATACTCAAACCACTACATCACACTGGCTCTCTCAGATAAATACAAGTATAAATCAGTAAGTGATTATTTTTGCCAATGAGATATAGCAACATTCCAAAGCATATGGTATATTTCAGATATTTGGGAGCAGAAATTTCTGGCCATTTCTGATCAATTTCTGACTTATGACAACTGAAGTAAAAAATATCAAGACAGCACCAAATCAGAGGAGGTTTGCAGATTACAGCAGCATGAAATGCAGAGCAAGAAGCAGCTTATTCTGTATGATCTGGTCTGTACATCAATCATAAGCATCATAAATGTGAAGAATTATGTCTGTACTTCTGAGCAGCATATACTTTCTGGAAAATGCAAAAATCATAAGCTATATTATTTTCTTGAAACTCTCTTCTGTAATTTTTGACCTCAATGAGAGATTTTATTCACATAAACAACCACCAACTAAATAAGCAGCATCTGTTCTAATTTTCCCAGAAGAAAAACAGAGATTTCTTCAATGTAAGGTGTACTCATTCCATATTATCTCCTTCAATTAATCTCAAAGGTGCTAGATTCCTCTGTGTACTGATTTTCCATACTAACACGGCTATGTCTTTGAATTCATTCCATATTAGCATTCTTGCTGGAAGTTTAGAAAGCTAAACAGGAAATAAACACTATCAGAAACACATCATAAAACATGTTAGTGTGTTCTGTTCCTCTCAAATGAGTCTTTAATTGGACGCAACCCAAATCTGGGTGAGCAGAAGTTCTGCCCTCACAAAGCCTTTCTAAATTAAAGCTCCTTTACTGGATCATCGTAGTTTACATGCGCAGGACCCGAGATACTCAAGAGGATAAAAGCTGACATGGACTCTAATGCAAATGAAGTGATCCCAGTCCTGTCAAAACAAGGTGACAGCTGATCACCAATACAGGAATTTCACAAAACAGGAGGTGTTTTGTTGTTGTTTTTACCAAAATTACTGTCCTCTCTCAAGCATGTACAGTGGGCCCTCAGTTTCTGCTGTGGTTTGGTTCCAGGCCCTTAGTGGATTCAAAAATCCATGGACTCTCAAGTCTCATTTTATATAAAGGCATAGTAAAATTCTGTTTCCTATATAAAATGGCAAAATCAAGGTTCGCTTTCTGGAATTTATATAGCTTAAAAAATATTTTCAGGCCATGGATGGTTGAACCTATGAATAAGGAATCTGTGGATACAGAGGGTATATAGTGTGTAGAGGTATATATCATGAAGTAGCAGCAGCTGGACTTGGTTTGGTGGGGATGGAAAACACATGGGTGGGCACTTTCAAAGACAGAAAACATACGGCGGGCCCTTAGTATCCTCAGGGGTTTGGTCCAAGGGACCCCAAAATCTGTGGATGCACAAGTCCTATTAAATGCAAGGGGGTTGTAAAATGGTCTATGTCTCTGGAGACCAGAGTTCGATACCCAGCTTGGCCATGAAACCCACTGGGTGACTTTAGGCAAGCCACACGCACTCAGTCTCAGGGGAAAGCAATGGCAACCTCCTTTGGGCAAGTCTTGCCCAAGGGTGGCCATAAATCAGAAACAACTTGAAGGCACACAACAACAACATCAACAAAGTAAAATGGTGTCCTTTATATAAAATAGACAAATCAAGGCTTGCTTTTGGGAATTAATGTATTTTTAAAATATTGTCAAGCTGTGGATGGTTGAATCCGTGGATACCAAGGACCGACAGTACCACAACTTTCAGGATGGGGAGGCAGCATCCTCTAAACTCTGGGGCTGGAAAGGAGCTTAACCCAAGGAACAAAACTGCATCCAGAGCGCAGAAATAATATGGGCTGACCCCACTTTAACTGCCATGACTCAGTGCTATGGAATCCTGGGAATTATAGTTTATTCTGGCACCAGAGAGTTCTCTGACAGAGAAGACTAAGGGCCTTTGCAGACTGCTAGAAATAGTGCAAACTGAGTCCACTTTAAGGGTTAGGGAATCATGGGAACTGTATTTTATTGTGGCACTAGAGCTCTCTGACAGAGAGGGCTCAATGTCTCAGGAGAAAAAAAAAACAATTCCCATGATTTGCTAGCAGTAACCCTAACCCTAAAAGTGGACTCAATTTGCACTATTTCTGGCAGTCTGCAACCCCCCAAAATGTCTCAGGAAGACGACATTCCATATCACTGAGCCAGGGCAGTTAAAGCGATGTTGAACTGCATTAGCCCTGCAGCCTCTGTCGTCCCATAAATGTATGTATTTAGCCTCTTCTGTCAGACAACTCAGGTGCCACAAGAAACCACAAATCCCAGGATCCCCAAGCAACTGAGCCAGGCTCAAACTGGATTGTTTCTGCAGTGTGGGTTTGGACCTACAATTCCCAGAATTCCATGAGAGCAATGGAGCCAGGCTAGTTCAATGTGCGGTCCACCAGGATTATGTTGTGCAGTGTGGATGCAACAACCCAAGGC